ATATATATATATATATAACATATAGACACACAAGACACAATCAAACATACACACACATATACACAACACAATTTGTTTAACCATCCATATCGTGATGGACATTTGGGTTGTTTCTACCTTTTGGTTATTGTAAATGGTGCGGCTATGACTATATGTGTACAAATATTTGTTTGAGTACCAGTTTTCAGTTCTCTTGGGAATATAACTAGGAGTGGAATTGCTAGGTCATATGATAATTCTTTTTGAGGAAACACCAAACTATTCACAGCAGCTACAACATTTTGCATTCCCATCAGTAATGTATGAAGATCCCTACGTCCTCGCCAACACTTTTCGTTTGATTACAGCCACCATCGTGGATGTGAAGTGGTATCCCCTTATGGTTTTGATTTGCATTTCCCCAATAACTAATGATGTTGAGCATCTTTTCATGTGTGTATTGGCCATTTATATATCTTCTTAGGATGAATGCCAGTTTAAGTCACTTACCCAATTTTAATAGGGTTGTTTGTTTTTTGTTGTTGAGTTGTAAGAGTCTTTACACATTGTGAAACTGAGACCCTTATAAGATGTATGGTTCACAAATACTTTTTTTCCATTCCATGTGTTGTCACTTCAATTTCTTGGTAATATCTTTAGATGGACAAACTTTTTAATTTTGATAAAGTTCAGTTTAAGGTTTTTTCATCCTTTGTGTTTTTGGTGTCATGTCTAAGAATTGGTTGCCAAATTCAAGGACATACTCCATGTTACCTAAATCACAATTACTATCCATAGCAAGTTTACCCCTTCCCTAGGCCAAACAGACCGCCTTCAGCCAGACCCCTACCTAAGCATAAACCCTGAGAAGAATAAAAAAGTTTATATTGGACACGAAGGGCCAAGAGGGTCTCAGATTGGATAATCTCTGGTAAACTGGTGAAGCAGTTCCTACACTTACTAGAGTTACATGACAGCCAGTAGCACTGTTCTTCAGAAGCAGCCTTTCCTTCTGCACCTGCCTCTATATTCACTAGTGGCAGGAACCTGCCCCCGCATAGGGATACAGTGGTCATAAAACCAGGCCTTTTCTAGCAGACGATCACCCTTTAATCACATTAACTATGGATCAGTCTCCAAAAACTAAACAACACAGACTAGCTCTGTTGAATGTGGGTGTCTGAATTTCTCTTATCCCAGAAAGCAGTCATACATTAAAGTGACTCTCCTAGGAACTGACCAACTTGAGAGGAAGATTAAGTAAAGGGGCAATTACCTGCTTAACTATTAAAATTGGCCCAGTTTTGCTTAAAAGTCGCTTCTTTTCTACTTGTCTCCTGAGTCTGTTCATTTTCCTGTTACTGGAATGAACCTTCTCAGTCAGCGCATAATCTCATAAAACAAGCCTAAGGCTTTTATACTATTTGTGGGCACTGCCTGGTAGGAATCAGTTAATCATTCTCTATCAGCGTGGGTGGTAAATACTCTACAGTACTGACTAAGGCAAGGCACTGCGTGTTTACAGTCTGTCATAGCTGATTTAGTCAGGAGTTCTAATCTTCACCATTTCATCTTCCTGATATGGACTGTGTGCTTAAAGGCACTATTAATGAGAGGAGGCTAGCTATAGATTTCAGAGAGCAGAGCAAGCTTATTCCTTCGCTTACAGCATCTCTATTGGATATCATCACATTAATGAATGACATTCACAACAACATGGATAAGTGCTTTGGGTATGTAGACTTAGCTAACATGCTCTATTCAGTAAAAATTTTGGAAGAGAATCAACCACAATTTGCATTCACCTTTACTTGGTTGCTGCTATGGACGGAATGTTTGCGTCCCTCTCACAGATTCATATGTTGAAACCCTAATCCCCAATATGATGGTATGTGGAGATGGGGTCTTTGAGAGGTAATTAGGTTTAGATGAGGTTGTTAGGGTGTGTTTTGCTTATTTCAGGCTGCTATAACAAATTAACACAGACTAGGTGGCTCATAAAAAATGGGAATTTATTCCTCACAGTTCTAGGAGCTGGAAGTCTGACATCAGAGTGCCAACACAGTCATGTTCTGGTGAGGGCCCCCTTCTCTGTTGCAGACTGCCAACTTCTCAATGTGTCCTCACATGGTGGAGAACTTATTGTATCCTCCCATAGCAGAGAGAGAATCAAGCTCTCTTGGGACTTTTATAAGGGTCCTAACCCTTTTCCATTCCTCATCTATTCCTAATTACCTCGCAAATGCCCCACCTCCTAATATCATCACATTGGAAGGTAGCATTTCCACATACAAATTTTGGAAGCATTCGGTTCATAACATTACACTCCTGGCCTCCCCAAATTCATGTCCCTCCCACGTATGAAATACATTCATTTCTTCCCAACAGCCTCAAACTTCTTAACTTGTTCCAGAACTGACTCTAAAGTCTAAAGTTCAAAGTCTTGTCTAAGTATTATCTAAATCAAATACGGCTGAGATTTGAGGTTTGATTTATCCTGAGGTTCATAGCTATGACCCTGAAAACCAAACAAGTTATGTAATTCCAAAATACAATTTTCTTTTCCTCCACCTTTTTGTTTTATTCAGTGGGTTGTATCACAGCCACCCACACTGTTGGAGTGATTTTCTTTCCACAGTCTACCAATTCAAATGCTAATTATTTTTAAGAAACACAATCATAAACATGCCCAGAAACAATGTTTTACTAGCTATCTGGGCATCCCTTAGCCCAGTCAAGTTGGCATGTAAAATTAACCACCATAGGGTGGGGCCTTCTTGATAAGATTAGGTGTTCTCATAAGAAGAGACACCAGAGATCTTGCTCACTGTTTCTCTTTGCCTTGTGAGAACACAGCAAGAAAGTGACTGTTTGAGAGCAAGGAGCAAGCCCTCACCTGTAATGAAAGCAACTGGCACGTTGATTGTATACTTCCCAGACTCCAGAACTGTGAGAAAATACATTTGTTGTGTAAGCCACCCAGACTATGATATTTGTTATGGCAGCCTGAGAAGATAAAAACAGTTTCCTGTGGGGTACTTAAATAGCCCTGGTATCACACTTGGGCTTTAA